GCCTGCAGGAAGTAGTTCTTAGTGGACTTGGAATTGACTGGTGTTCAAGGTGAGTCGTGCTGATAAGCTTTAATAAATAACATAAAACAAGAAACCCGATTGTAATCTTTTCTTAACCCTCCTCCTTCACGACTGGACCAAAATGCATGACTACTGTCTCCAACCACCAGTCAGAGAAGAACAGACACAGAGGAGGGAAACAGCGACACAGACAGAGGTACAGTAAAAGAAAAAAAGTCAATAAGCAGGGTTTGTACATTTTATTATCAGTTCAGCTGCGATGAAAAGAAAAATACCGTCAAATACAGTGAAACCGGTGAAAATGTTGAAAATACCGTGATTTAAATTTTGAACATATTGCCCAGCTCTAGTAGGGGGTGTGTGAGGGCAGCTTGTGGGAGGGAGGTGCGGCGTCTGCTGCAGAGAAAGCAAAGAGGAGAAAAACACAGACTCAAATAAATCGGTGCATTTTACAAAACATYCAGATAAATAATAAAAATTATTCACATAAGTGACATTAGCTTCCTTGGTAACAGTAAACACAKGTGCTTAAAATTAATGTCAGAATGTGAAGGAGTAAAAATCTACATTGTGTCACGTCTGCCTGCTTCCCTCTCCAACTTTAAAACCATCTCACTTTTTATAGCTTCACGCTGAAGCCCAGAAAGTTCTGCTGCTGCAAGTTCTGTAAGTGTGACCAAATCCTCAACCAATCAAAACGAGGCAGCAGAAAACCTTACATCACTGCTCCATACACAGGTTTCACTTATTGTGGTGAAGAGAAAACAAAAAGCTAAAACTTGCTCATCCACTAAAGTTTRTAATATAATTGTGTTTATGACTTGACTTTACATATGTCTGATTTAAATATCAAAGTATGCAGACAACCTGTAGGTGGCTCACTGGTTTCACTGGGGTCTGCAGCTGATGCTTCACCCTCAGGTGCTGCTGCCTCAGGCGGGGGGGCTCGGCTTGGGCTTGGAAACAGCTGAGGGAGAAGAGAACCAAACTGTAGGACTAGAAACTGAATCTGAGCCTGAACTGAAGCTCGTCACCCATTACGCAAGAACCGAGAGAGTGGTTTGTTTACTTGTGAAGAACAAAGTTAGYTCTGGTCGGGATATTTTTATTCTTTCAAAAAAACCTGAAGAATTTGAGTCTTTATGTTTTTTATTTAAATCCACGCACCCACTTCAGATTTCTGACCAACAACTATAATACTTGGACACCAACAAAAACAAAGTTCTGCTCTGATGATGTGTCCAGAACTGTGAAAAAATTATTTTTTTTCTTTGCAGCTCTGCTCTTGTACAGTTTGTTGCAGCCTGAAGGGTAAACAGAAACGTGAAGAAAAAAGATGCTCCAGAAAAAAGTCACGACATTATTTAAACTATTTGTCTAGAAATTATCATGAAATTGCTCATATCTGTTAGCAAAATATTTCAAGAACAATGATGGAATTTAATGAAACTCTCACAAACTAATTACTGAWTGTACCTCTACAACTGATTAACTTTCTGATTCATTTCCACTCAAGATGGCCGCTATAGGTGACTGACCTTGGCAAACACAAAAAYRGCTATAACTCAAGCTAATTTGTTGTGTTTTAGTAGGTGAGACTAATCCATGTTATACGCTCCGAGTGCCAACAGATCTTTTTTTAAAACTTTGGCATAAAATGAGTAGGGGGTGATTAGTTTTCCTTGAAGAAATGCTACTTTCACTGGAGCACAGTTTTACTGTCATTTTGTTCCGACACCTTCACATTTGCTGTTTTCATGGCAACAAAGAGGAAGCTGAACTGTGTGCTGCAGAGTCAGCTGATTCAGAGTCTGCTCTTACAGCAAATAACCTCAAACTAAAAAACACAAGATGTTCTCAACATGAAAACAGACGCTCTGAGSTTTGGAGCATAGTAGGTTTCACTCTTAATAACCTGACCAGTAGCAGGTAAGGATGAATTCACTCTTTCTTCATATAAATGAATTCAGCAGCTAAAATTCACACATTAAAGCCCTGACATCTAATAAAAAATATTACATGTCACCTTTTACACCAAAATGTTAGACTAAGGTTATGTTTTTACTGCAGGTCTTAATGCTCAGATTCTTTTTTTTTTTTTTTTTTGCGTTGTAGTTTACATTATAATTTAAAATGTGACAATAATTAGGTTTAATAATCCGCAGTCCTGAAGCCACCTGCATGCAGGAAGATGATGACATGTGCAGCACAACAAACTAAATATGGATCCAGATATAGATCAGTTCTGAAGTTGTTGTAAATCAGCCACGTTCGTTTTATCCAGTGTTTACATTTTATCTTGCCACTTCACACTACTCCTGTGCAGAATCACATTCAATTTGCCAAGTTCTGGCTGGGTTACAGCCATTGTAGTGCTGGCTATTATGGATTATCTGTGGCAGCCATCTTGAATTGGGTTTATTCCAAAAGCGAAAATTTCCACCAGTTTCATTAAAATCCATCCAGTGGTTCATAAGATATTTTGCTAACAGTCAGACAAACAGACAAAAACATTGCTGCCTTCACCAGCCTTTAAACACAGACTATCTCAACATCTCTTAGCAGAAATCAGTTCAGGGAASAGGTGAAATATGACGTCTGAAAGAAATCAATCAAAAAGCAGCTCACCGGCACCCGGGGACTCTGACTCGAAGTGTGAGGTTGATCTTTGAAGACTGGTTGAGATCTCTTCCATACGTTTCGCATTTCTTTGATTGTCTCCTTTTACGGTCATAATCTGTGACATTAAAAAAATAAACCATCCCTTTATTCACAATTAAATAAATGATTAAACATAAAAAGCCACACAATCTGATGGAAACAAGCATGATTTCACAAACACTCCGACAGTGAATGTCTGGCGCAATCAGGTTCTGAATTTACCAAAATAAAAGCCCAAAAACTGTTCAGCACTTTCATTTAGCTTCTTTTCGTTGTTCAGACTGTTGTCACTCAGAAAAGAAAAAAAAACTTCACAAACAGATGAAACTCATTCCTAACATTTGTTGCCAAAACATTTCTGAATCTTTAGCGAAGTATTCGACGGACTAATCGTACTCACGAGTGTCAGAGTACCAACGAAGGCTGCTCCCATTAAGACGGCGTACGTCAGGTTGCCTTTACTCTCCAGTGGGCTCTGGGACATGCGGGCACGTGTTGGTGGTCGGACATTGTTCAACTCTGAAAAAGAGAAAACGCCACAAAACAAAAGCATCACTACACAAAGACTCACAGGATTACTCGAAAATGCAGTACTTTATTTCTTTGTTGTTCAAATTAACTTGGAAGACATGTTTTTTTTTCTTAATAATGAATAAAGGATGAATAAGAAAAACAATCATTTAGAGGAATTTAAGTGTTAATTTCATTTATTTTTAACTGCTAATTCCATTTTAAAAATTTAAATCGACTATAAACTAACACAGAAACTACACCTAGCAAACAAGGAAAATACATCAAATTAAAAATAATGATTATTTTCTGAGACTTTCATTACAATCTGATGATAATATATTTTGCTAACACGCAGACAAATAAATGAAAGGAATAAAATATTATTGTCCTCTTGTCTTTATGACAGGACTGTTTGTTTTTTGCTGTTTGGGTGAGTGGATAAAGAGCAATACTGAAACTTGTGTTTTAATTTAACATCAGCTAYATTAACGGCAGTCAGTTTATCAATAATTAACATAATCTACATTTCTATGGTTACATATACAGAACAACTTGAAGTAATCTTCCAGTCTCTCACWTTGTTGTAAATTAATTGTGGCCCACTCTTCTTTACATTACTGGTACTTGAGTTTTTTTAAAGTGAGCAGATATCKTCTCTGCAGCTCCTAAAGTCACTCTGCAGGGTTTCAGTCGGGTAGAGGACTGGACTTTGAGTCATTGCAACACTCAGATCTGCTTCTTCTTCAACCATGCTAAACCCAAATGTTTTCAGTTGACAGCAAAATGTGAAAAAAATGGCCTCACTATTCCATTGCTCTGAGGTGACTGTAGATGTTGATTTATGGGTAAATGTTTTTACATAATTAGCTCATGGTTAAGTCTCTAGATTTTATGTTTAAACATTGACAGCACAACAAGGAATCTACATCCACATAACCTCATGCTTGTAAATTAGGGTAATTAAATGAAACACACACTTAACCCACTCAATTTGTGTCTCCAACATTATGCATGAACTATTTTTGCCTGTAATCATAATCATGTAAGAAATGAATGCAAGTATGCCTTAAACTGGATAATTACTGGAGTTGCATACTGGTAACACATTTTGTTGTCCCAGAGAATATGCAGGGTGCAAAACAWCTAACAATTAGCCAGTTAGCTTTATAGTCAACATAACCTCGGACTAGCTTAAAAGGCTAAGCTAACGAGACTAAGCTGTCTGTGTTTTAGATGCATAATTACTGTACAGTTTCATTCATTCAATCATAAATGAATGTAGGCCAGCTAACCGAGCCAACAACTAGTTTTCCATAACTTACCTGTTCTTATCGCATTCTGCCGGCACAGTGTTGATGAGGCTCGAAGAAGAGGTGCAAGTTTTTCACACTTAGTCCAGCATTTCAGCATGGTGGCTCAGCTCCGCTGCAACGACGGCGGCGTCAACAGCCCACAAATCAGACAGAAAACTAGTTATAGTAAATAAGACAGCCAAGAGCTAACAACTAGCAGCACCACACCGACTCTGCCAAGGCCACAGACAGGTCACTCGTTTCAGAGAGGAGACACGGAGACTCTTTCGAAACGAAGATTAGCCGCCGCCGATGAAACCAAACCGGATAACGCCTGTGCTTTGGGAGAAAAATGGCGTCGCTTCTACTGTGACAAATAAATCACTTTAATGGCATTTAATGCTTTGACACGATGTTTGTGTTTATGATTCTAAATAGAAAAACGCAACACTTTAATGTTATAATTTAAAGCTAAAGGYTWGTCACTTTAGACCTGTAAAATCTGCAGTTGTGATAAGTGACAGCTAAGGGTAATCTTTTTTTTCTAGACTCTTTGGTGACTGCCGTAAAGCACACTCTTCTTCGTCTTATGTGAGCAGTTCCGGGGAGGTTCATTGCGCTGCTGCCCCCTACACTTCACTATTTAATACAGCAACTTGAAGGGTTCTGCTTTGGGTTCTCCCAATGACGTTTATTCTCTAAACTAGTCAGTAATGTTACTTTTTACAGTTAGTTTGCAATGCACTGTGGTTTATTCATGCCTTCTTCCGGTTTGTTGGAACACCCTGTTCATATTTACCCTTATATCAGCTGTGCTCTGCAGTCTACAGTATGAAGATTTGAACATGTAGTAACCAGTTTTACATGAGTTTTAGTAACTGTAAAAATGTACATTTTTAATTGCTGGGTTGCAACCAAAACATGGATTGCAGAGCCATTCTCAGTTGGACAAAGGCTTTTAACAGAGAAAAAAAATGTTGAGTAAAAAAAAAACAGTCATTCTGTTTATTATGTAGCGTTATGCTTCATGCTTTAATAGAGTTTTACTCACTGTTAAGTTGTTGTGAGTAGCTGCTGTTTTGAATTATGAACTCTCTCACCTTCTGACAAGGAAWTCCCACTGGAGGGGGTGTTCCAGTTTAACTTCATGACTTGTCAATAGGAAATTCCCACTTTCCAATACAACTAGGTCGCAGCAGAAAATGCAAAATGAAAATTTCACATGGCAAATTCCGGCCGCCAGCTACTTTTGAACTCTGTGCACCTCTACCTAGTGGTGGGATGCTATAATTTTGTGGGTAAAATAGTTGACATGCAGTTTATGGTCAATGCTTTAAAGCAGCATACGCTTATTTTAAGACAATACATATTTGAAGCTCTAGTGGGCCATATAAAACACTGTGGGGGGCCACATTTTCCCCCATGGACCTTGAGTTTGACACGTACTTTAAATAAAACTATGTTGTCCATCTTCAGCAATAGTTGCTTTGAGTTCTCGGACTCAATGACTAGTGGAGCTCTGGGGAATATTTTTCTACTCATGTAAGGTTAAAATCCATGTCATGGAGAAAAACGAAGCTGTTACCCATCAGACCCATGTATCACTTGGGTTTACTCATTGTAGAAGCTGCATGAAGAAAGCTGAAAACACCAGAGGACGGCAGCAGCAGTGACTGTTGGACAGAGCGGGGCAGACAGATGGGACCGTGAGATTAGACCTGAATATGAACCGTGTTGAYTCGAAAGCCTGGTCCATGTGCAAAGCTGATGAGGAGCAGATAATATTCAAATTCAGTTTGACTGTGAAAAAGTGCTGGAGGCAAAGACTAGAAGATCACATTTACATACAGCTTTTTATTATTATTATTTTAGAAGCTCTAAGTGTTTTTCAACATATTTCTAAGGCAGACAAGCTGCTGCTGCTGGTCAACCAACTAAACACTGTAAACAAAGAGCAGAATAAAACATCTGTCAATAATGCTGCAGTGTTGGTGAGAGGAGAAAAGAGCATGAGAACTGCCACAAGGTGAAAGGAATAAGCAAACCATATGTGGAAGATGAGGTTCTGGTGGTGGTGGGGAGGGSTGCTTCACTCAGGAGACTTTGTGCAATGACCACTAAGGAAGTGGCTGAGGGATCTGTTCAGAACTACATCGTCCTCAAAGCAACAAAGACAGAGACAAACCTTTTTGGAGTTACCCGTTTGCTTCGTTGCTTAAAAAAGGAAAATAATTCTAGAAATGACTTCATCTACATGGAAACAACAAAAACAACCACAAGCCTTGTAGTCAGTAAGAACACTGCCCCAAAAATACACCAAAAACAGGAAACAAGTCATGGAGCATGTGCAGAAAGCATGGGTGCAAACAGTAAACAGAAGAAAACACCCTCGAGTTGTGTGTTAGAGGTGGGTCTATGACATTAACATTTTCATTTTCAAAAGGTTGCACAAAAATTATCTTTTTTGTTTTTTCACTCTAGAAATTCTTTTACAAAACAATATTGTTTTGGGGCTCTTTAAACATTTTTTTCAGGGTTGAAACACCTGTTCCCGTGTGGACGGCCTCTCAGTTTGAAGAAAACAAAAGTTCCTTGGTGAGCTAATTGCTAGTCATAGACTTAAAAACAATTTCACTGCAATTCACGCAAACTGTTTTATTTATTCCTGCAGAAATATTATGATATCCTAACAGGAGGTGCAAGGCCACAATGGAAGTGCCACAGCCAGCTGCTGCTACGTATTTACCCTAGGAAACCAACATAAATAATCATGTAATGGAAACTGACTGCAGCGTAAAATGCATGATCTTATCAATCTTGACATCATTAAACTCTGTTCATTTAAATTGAAGTTGTCTAAAAATCTATCTACAACAGGTAAGATATTAATTGTTCAGAACCTTTTTACAGAAGTCCTTTTCAGTAGATCAGAACTGATCAAATAGAATCATTTGTCTCTTTCTAAAACACTAAACACAAGTAGTAAATATATCTACTGAAATAAGAAATGTAAATAATAGTGAAACATGACTGCCCTGCAGTTGTTGCATTTTGACACACTGAACCTGAATTTTTTTTGTCGAGGAAATGTCGGATTACATGAAAAAACAAACAAACCCTGCAGCATTAATGTAAACTGTCTCCAATGATTTGAATGAGTGCTTTTTTTTTACGTTTTGCCACCTGTTTACATAAGAACAAGATRTGTTACTCTGGAAATCTGCTGGGTAAATAATTCAGTTTTATGTTATCTGTTAACGAGGGTCAAGCACTGGAACAATATCCAGTGGATCTGATGCTGAGACTGGGTGTAAAAAGCTTCTGCCAATTTCTGCTCTTTTCAGTTAATATTTAAACACAGTGAGACGCTGGCTGACGTATAAATCAGCAAAAGATTAAAAAAAACTTCTTTTTGTTCTGCTTTGCTCGAAAAACCGCAGAGATTATGGTAAAATTGTATAATGCTTTAACAGGAGGAGCCAGTGTCATCTTCATGAAGGTTCAGATTAGCCTCTAAATCTCTCAAAATGTAACATTTGAAGCTGTTTTCCATCTCCTCCTCTTTATTAACTCTCCTCTTTCTCTCCCTCCCTCCTCCCTCCCTCTCTCTCTCTCTCTCTCTCTGTTTCCCTCAGCCAGTGTGTTCAGTTTCTTTTACTTCCTTCTTTTGGAGTGTCTGTGCTGAATACCAGAGCACACACAGGATATGCTTCACAGTGCTCTCAGTTTCACAGCAGCAGCAGCAGCAGCTGGAGCAGGAGCAGCAGCTGCCGTGAGAACCAAGCCCTCTCTGCAGTCAACATGAGTGCTGGGGATGTGGTGTGCACCGGCTGGCTCATTAAATCCCCCCCGGAGAAGAAACTGAAGAGATTTGTGAGTACTGAAGCAGACGTCAGACACTTGTTTCATTCTTTTATATTTAAATGTATATATTTGGCTTCTCTGTTAAGAGGGGGAATGTTCACTGCTTAACCTTGTGATGTAGAATGAGGAATCCAGTCATTTTGGCTGCCTGACTCCATTCCTCAGAACTGGAGCTGTGTTTTTTAATGTGGGGGCAGACACCTCTAAAGTGTAGCTGGAGCCAACTCCTGTAGAATGAGGAGCATCGAGCCCCTCACTGTTTGTGTGGTGGGGTTGTTGTGTGGAAGGGGTGGATTGGGGAAGGAGGGGAGGGAGGGGGGGGTGTCATGTGATAGTGTTAGGCTGCTCTGTGTCCATCTGTATGTGTGATGAGTGCATGGATTGTGAAACATGGGAAGTAATGTCAGCAGCAGCAGGCAGACACTTCAGCAGCAGCAGAAATAGTCCAGCTTTAAGACGGCTGTTTGTACTTCCTCTGCACGACTGGAGGAGGAGTGTGTGTGTGTGTGTGTGTGTGTGTGTGTGTGTGTGTGTGTGTGTGTGTGTGTGTGTGTGTGTGTGTGTGTGTGGTTGTGTTGTCTCAGGCAGAGGTTGTTTGCCTCATTCAAATGTCAGGTGCTGGCACACGTCAGTATGAAAATCTTCGTTCTCTTTGTCAGAATGCCATTTGTGCTGGAGAATCCTCTGAGTRACAGGGCACAACATTATATTTTTTTCTTTTTGAAGCGTAAAAATTAGACAGCGATGCTCTTGTGATGAGAAATGACAGATTTGCAGCTTATTTTATTTAAAAAAAAGAAGAGAAACTAATCGTGCAAACGCTCAGCGTATGCTACTACCACGTCAAACTCCATCCATCTTGATTCAGGTTAACTTTAAGAAAAAAAACAATCAACCGTAGATGTGCGTCCAGTAACCACTTTATGAGTTTTATTAAAAATCGCCCAGCTGTTCATTTTTCTAACAGACAGTTTGCTGAGGTTCAAGCTGCACTTAAAGGTGTTTGAATCCATTGGTGAGTGAGTCATTTCTGCTAATGTATAAATGACCCAGTTTAAAATGACTCAGCTGTCACCAACACCGACGAGATGTTTGAATTTGACCAAGTCACATGACAGCAGGGAGAAAAAGAAATAAATGCCATCAGATGTGGTGAAAAGGTCTGAATACTTTCTTCTGTGGTTTTTAATTAAACAGCTTTTTTGTTTTTAAATGTTTCAGTCAGGAAAATGTCTTCATGTTAGATAAAGAAAAGTGAAACAAAATTTCCATGAGTTCTTTCTGATGTCCACCTACACAACAACAACAACAACAACATAATAGTTTGTTTTTGATAGTTAAACTTTACAAATTGGGAAAGTTTACTACCACTGATCTATCAGTAGTTTTGTTTTCCTCTTAAAAAATGTCAGCGTTTTTTCTTCAGCAGCAAAGTGTGGCGAGTCCTTTTACCATTTCCTGGTAAAAACACAAACTACTGACTGACTTGTGTCGCAGCAGATCACCCACATGCAGACAAAAAAAAAAGTTTCACACCACAATAAGATCAGGACAGACTCCACCCCAACATCCACACCAAGCCACAAAACCAAGTGAGAACGGGTGAYGTTTGTGTTCAACTCGTGAATATGGCTTAATAATACTTGCCTTTCTTTGAAATATGTCGCTAATCATTGCAGTTTAAAAAAGGACTGCACTCTTCGGAGGTTTAAGCAAATCTTAGAAACTATAAATACTGGCAGTATTTTGTTTTCAGCTGGTCTTCAGTGAAAAAGCTGCAACCAGAAGTTGTATAAATAACTCTTTCGTTGTGTTAGATGTTTTCTGCTAAATACAGTGAACTTCCTCTTCTCTGTACTTCTGGGAAACTGGAGCTGAGGTTCCTCTTAATGACCAAAACAAAAGAAAAAAAAAAGAAAACCAGTTTGAAGCTGCAAAGGTTTGCTGCTGGATGCCTTTTTTGGAATTAAAGTGACTTCTGATTAAGGAAATGGTGTTTTAAATGATTCTGACCAACATCAAATGGACTCTATCACCTGCAGGCATGGCGCAAACGCTGGTTTGTCCTCCGAACTGGACGCATGTGTGGGAATCCAGATGTGCTGGAGTACTACCAAAGCAAGAACTCCAAGAAGCCCATCCGGACCATCGACCTGAAGGAGTGCGAGGTCGAGATGCTTAACGGGCAGCTCAGGGTAAAACGGGACTTTCACGGGAAGCACCTGTTTGTAGTGAAAACGTCCTCTCGCATCTTCTACCTGGTGGCCAAAACGGAGGAGGAGATGAACAGCTGGATCAGGAGCATCAGTCAGATCTGCCATTTTGGGAGCCTGGAGGAGGCAGGTAGAGACACACAGTTTAGTTCTTTTCTGTGTGAAAACCACACTTAAAAAGTGTCTTRTGGTGCTTTTTGTTTGTGTCCAATTATAAATAAATGACCTGGAACGCCTCCTGAAAATTACTCCCAACCCCATTCTCAGAAATGTATGGAGCCCCTGAGGTGACATCTGGGATTTTTATTTATTTATTTTGCGTYATCTCACTTTTAGCCTTTTGCCTGCTGGTTTATAAATAAATTCACATGWGCACCATTATATTCAGATTTGGCATAAACATCTCACATCTACGAATGGAGTTATAAATAGATACAGTGTGCGTAAAATATAGATATTTAATTCTTCGCAGTCGCACAATATCACTAACTTCTTTGACTTGTGGTGACACATCGTGATTCAGTAAGCARATATTTCAAAATAAAAGTCTTATTCAATACAATAAAAAAAAGCATTACAAATATTACTAGACATGGGTTTTTACGATGTAAAAACAAGTGTGCGTTGCCTTGTAGCATGGCTTTGTCTGCAGCAGTGGACTTGCAGAATGAAATGTGACCAAGTTCAAATGTGTTTTCTATTCCAGCTTGTGCCTGTCAAGTTAGCAGGTGTTTGTAATGAGGGTAATTGTGTGACAATATGAAGTTTGTAGAGATTTTCTGTTAAAGGTCCTGTATCTGGGTTTCGAACCCTGATCTCCCACATGAAAGCCCATGGCACTAACCATGATACCATTAGAGCTGTGGTAGAGAATGAGGCCAGGGTTTGGTTTGTATGTGTGCAGAAAGAGGCCACATTGCCAATGTAATGGTTGTCACWAATTTGAAAAATATTACAACAATAACGCAATATTAGGACAATATTATGGTAAAACATAAAAATACAATCACATTAGTATTGCAAACACTGAACTACTGAGTTGAAATATTAAACTATGGTGCAGTAACAAGTTGAGTACAGCATGGGCCAATATTGGACCAATACAAGGCTCCATTGACTGCCATTATAATTTATTAAATATTAACATTTCATAAACTATAATTTTTACAGGCACCAAAAGGCATAGCCATCATTTGGCAAATGGCAGCTCTAGGACAAAGTATGCAGGAGGAGAAGTTGAGATGACTTGGATGGGAAACGAATCATAATAGTGTGCATTGCATTGGCAATGCACACTGATAAGTATTGCAAGGTAACGCAAAAAGTATTTTGAGGTAATGCAAACGTATTGCAAGGTAATGCAAAACAAACAAACAAACAAAAATCCCCCGATGTGCCCTGGGGGGCTGCACAGAACACAATATGGCTGCCCAACACATTTTATTTTCAAATTTGTGACTTTAAATTGTGTTGANGGCCAGTATTGGACCAATACAAGGCTCCATTGACTGCCATTATAATTTATTAAACATTAATATTTCATAAACTAAAATTTTTACAGGCACCAAAAGGCATAGCCATCATTTGGCAAATGGCAGCTCTAGGACAAAGTATGCAGGAGGAGAAGCATGCCAAAGTTGAGATGACTTGGATGGGAAACGAATCATAATAGTGTGCATTGCATTGGCAATGCACGCTGATAAGTATTGCAAGGTAACGCAAAAAGTATTTTGAGGTAATGCAAACGTATTGCAAGATAATGCAAAACAAACAAACAAAAAAAAATCCCCCGATGTGCCCTGGGGGGCTGCATAGAACCCAGTATGGCTGCCCAACACATTTTATTTTCAAATTTGTGACTTTAAATTGTGTTGAATCAGCAGCACCCACAGTCCTTTACTACCTTTGTTAAAAAGAACATGTTGCTTCAGTATTTTAATGCACAAAATGAAGATAAATCTATATTGTCAGCTTGCATAGCTAATGTTAGCAAGTGGTCTTGCTGGTTTCTTTAGTAACTGGACTCAGAACAGAGTTCCAGCTCCTGAGGGAATGGGATCGCAGCATTAGTTCCTAAATACATTTGCTTAAAAATAAAACATTGATTTAGTTCTTTAGTTAATTTGTGCTACTTTTTCCCACAAAGGAAGTGGTGAACATCTGTTTATCTGCTGCAGGTTTGAAACGCTATCGTTTACTTGCTGCAAACATATTTGACTCTAAAGAGAAAACCTCATACCCACAGCAGCTGTGGTGATCACTGCAGACTTATCTGTTCAAGCTGGGTTCACAACTTTTATACAACTAAAAGAGCTGCTCCAAGGTTAAACTTCTGGTTCACCTTCTTAAAAACATGTGACTCCAGACCTGCAGCAACATGTGCTGAAATACTGTGACCGAGCTGCACTTTTTTATCCTTTTTTTACCACGTTTCACCCATTCATTTGGATAGCTTCATGTAATCCTGCTGAGACACACAGACAGACGAATGGGAACTGGATGTGCATCAAAATTTCAAGAAAATTGTCTTGAGTCTAAAAATAAAAATAAAACTTGAAAAGTATTGCAATGTTGTAAAAACTGGTCCAAAAAAAAAAAAAGAAAAAGAAAAAAGGCATAAAGAAAGAAACAAAATTTGCTCAGTGATGACAATGAGTGTTGAATTAAAAATTAGTCATGACAATTGGAAAGAACTGCCAACAACCTACATAAATAATTGAAGTGACGTAGAAAAGCTCAACAGTTGTGAAGTCAAACATTTCTGTTGTGTTGTTACATATTTACACACAGATGTGTTGAGTCAAGTAAGCAGATAAACATAGATTAGGTTGAAAGTRTTGATTTTCCTGGTATGGAAGATGTTTTGCAAATCTGAATTCGCATAATTTCTGAATCCAAAGCCCCCTGTTTATGACGCTCCATCGCTTGATTCCCCCCAATTTRACTTTTCTATTTCTACCTTAACATTTTCTCTGAGTTTCTACACTTATCCACCATATTTGTTTACATAGTGTACCCGCATATCAGAATTGCATATTGATATATCTAATAAATCTACTGCTATAAATTCTCTGAAACCRCACCATCACAGTCCCACCATTATCTCTTCATAGTTTAGAATAACCTCTTTAAAAATGTTTTATTTTATAATATGCAATAAGTACTTTTAACTGAAAGATTCACAGCCCTAAACCCATCTGATTAATTTCACCACACTTAGCCAGCTCTGTGAAACAGACGTTTCTCTGTAACTGACCCCTTAAAGCCACACAAACATGGTTAAAAACCATAAGATGCATATCGTGCCTCTCCACAGCAGCATTTTGATCTATTCGAATTTGACAGTAACGTGTCTTTATTTTCTCTTTGTGCGACATTGTAACTGACCTAAATCCAGACATGTGCAGCAGAGAAGCCCAATGTAACTGCGGGAAGACAAACTGAKCAACAGTCAGGTTGTTTGTGTAAAGATGTTTCCAACAGTTAAATCTGTTTTACACGCTTCTTGTCACGCAGCTTCAAGTTGCTGCAGTCTGACGAGAGATAACAGCGAGACAAACTAAGGACGTTTTTGTGTACACTTATTTTTAACTTACATATCTTTAACAGACTGCGTCAGCTTGATGTATGCTTAAACTTATCACACTGAATTCTACCGCTGGGACGCTGTTGCTTTACTGTTCAATGTTCAATGAGTTTATTAGAAAAAAAAGTCTGTTAGAAGACTGTTGTCTGCAAGAAAGAGATAGAGCAACGGCACAAACTAGCAGATGTGTAAGTGGAATCTGAAAAGCTGACAGTTGTAGTGTGAAATGATAAACAAAGATATGTATATGTATATATTTATTGCTGCAGCCCCCCTTCCCCCTCAACAATGTAGTGAAGCAGGAAATGATTATGTCTACAACTTATGTTTTAACTTTTGCAAAAAGGTTGTTTTGTGCCCATGAGAGAACGTAAACATCTGTTAGGAGTGGCAAATGTTTCCTGAGGACGTGCAAAGACGTTTTTGGGGAGTTAATTTTTTTTTTTTTTTACTTTATTTGGTGATACGTGGCTGTGCAGAGACGGCCTTGACTTGAAGGTCTTGAGCGAAATGGAATGAAAGAAATTTCTGAGTGAAAGCCAAAATTGACTAAAACAGAGACAGAATATCCAAACAAAAAAGGAGAAGGGACAGAGAAGTGTGTCTGCTTTTAGTGTGGTTTTTTTGTATAGCTCACACAGCTTAGATCAATGGTTCCCAAACATTTCCGCTTTTGACCCACAAAGTACCAGCAGCAGAGATATGTGTGACGTGTGATTTCAGGTGGCGCTATTGTTTCATTTTCTAAACCTCACTGCCAATTGACACACATTCACATACCAAATTAAATCTTTGAAATTACTTTTTACCTTTAAAACCAGGTTGCCCAATTAAAATAGTTAACATTATAATTAATTTGAAACCGAATACCAGAAGTCTACGTTATACCTGCCAACATCTGCTGACAGCAGTGAGGACCACCTGTTCAGGTTAACCAGCAGCTGTAGACTGAAGCAGTTTTAGGGGGATCCAGAGGTGTAATCCCCTGGAAAATTCTGTAAAAGATCTAATCAAAACTCTGCATTTTCCAGACTATTGAAYAGAAYTTCACTAAATTCTTGGGATTAATACAAAATAAAATCAGTATTTTATGAAAGTATAGGACTGGAAACCAGACTTTAACCTGAATTTTACCTGAGGTCATAAMTGAAACTTCTATTATCCTTAGTTTATTTTCTATTGACACACTGAGCACCAGTAGTTAGTCCTGACTGCATCATATGATGTCCTGCATTTGTGTTGCCCCCTAGATGGACAGAGCCCTTAGTATTTGCCTATACTGCCCATGACCTAGGCATAGTATTAATGTTCTTATAATTTTATCCATTTTTAAGTACACTAACCTCACACTTTTGTGACAACTAAGCCAAAATATTGTTGTTTGTAATCATTTTTAAATGTTATTCTGAAAACCATTTCAACACCCCACCATGATGTTTCAGGAAGCCACTGTGGTTCCCGACCCCAACTGTGGGAACCACTGGCTTCGATTGTCTATAAGGTGGTAGTTTGACACGTTAAATACCTTCTGTGTGTTTATGTCTGCTTGTTTGGTGTCAGAGAGCACAGAAGAGGGTTTCTCTTTGACCCCCACCTCCAATCAGCCATCAGTGGACAGCTCTGACCGAGTGTCGGTAGCGAGCCAACCGGATTCAGGTCATCCGCAGGACTACCTCCTTCTATCACAGTGTGAGACGGGGAGCGTAAGCACTAGTAGGTGTGTATGACCTGGTTTTGAAAGTACATTTCGTCCACGTTGTTGTGTTTGTCAAACGTGTTGCCTTCTTGTGTCTGTAGACACGACAGCTTCTCGACCTCCGACATCTCCTTGGAGCAGAGGTTATCGGACGATGCAGCCAAGGAGTTCCTCGCCGAGTCCTCGTCGCCGTCCTTCTCTCACACGAGTCCATCCATTCTGCCCCACGGACTACTGAGCCACCCTCCCTTCAGCGCCCCATGCACCTTCTCGGTCCTACCGTCGTCTTCGTCCTCGCCGCTGCACCACTGCGCCGCCAGCGTCTTCCAGTTCGACAAGCCCTATCCTTCCGCCCTGTCCGAGGCGGCCGGCGAGGCGCAAACGCCGCCGCCGCTCCCGCCCAAACCAAGTCACCTGTCAGAGCTGCTGAATGACGACAGAGGTCAAAGGTCAAGGACACTGTGCGCTCAGCACTTCCAAGCCARTGCTCATTTATTTTCCCGGAGGACCTCTCTGTCAAGCTTGGACCATTTCAGGACAGGTGAGTGTTGAAAATAAAGTCCACAATTCTCACTCTGGATGGTAAAACTYGTCTCATCTGTGGTTCTGAATTATTACTGATCTACAACTGAAAAACCCTACTAATAATGTTTTTCTTTTTTTTTTTTAAATTTATTTATGTGTTTTGTTTTTTTAGTCAGTGCTGACAGCAGATTAACAAGAGATAGAAGACAAAGTGTAAATCTGGTAAGTGTTCCTGAAAACTAAACACATTTCCAGTTTTTTTTATTTGGACATTTTGTGCTGATAGTAAGATGAGACGATCAAGTCTCGTATTTGTGCAACAAAAGAGTAGCGTGAATTAGCTGCAGGTCTGCTTAGCGTAGCACAAAAAACTAACAACAAACAGCAAGCCMGCCTTTGTCTAAATGTGATATAAATCTGCTGACATTACATTTAAAGTTGGTTGATTACAATCTTTTTCTACAAGAAAACGAAGAAAAAGCTGACTGGTAACAGTTTTCAGACGAGCTAAAACATCCCAACGTATTTAGCACCTGATGAAGAAGAAACTGACAATATTAGCTATTTTGGCACAGTTTTACCTACAAACATGTTGTCAGGAAATAATTTTCTGCTCTAGCTCAATCTCTGTGTGGTTATTAAATGTGTGATTATAGCTAAAATCMCAGCACAGATGTTTTAAACTGGATTTTAAAATCACATTTAAAGATTCATTTTGCCATCAGATGTTCAAAACGATCCTTATAGCAAATAAAATACTTTGTGTTTGTATAATTTCCGCAAAAACCTTTGAATAAATGTCTCAACTAAAGCTTTTAAAAGCTTCTATAGAYTTTGAACTAAGCCATGTGACCTATGAAGGTGCCTACAAAAAGGCTTTACTGGACTTAAGCTATGCTGTGATCATGTGATACTTGTCTTTTTTACAGCCGTGTTTACACAACAGACAAGTTCAAAGCTACCAGGATGACTCGTATGTCCCCATGGCGTCGCCTTCCCCCTCTGCAACACCTGTGCAGTGTGACAGTTATATCCCCATGAGCCCCCGGACCCTCAGCTTCATCAGCCCAAACGGTGGCGCAGAGTCTTCCTCGTCTCTCAGCTGCCCGACGTGTCAGCCTGGAGATCTTGCCCCGCCTCCGATTCATCGGCACCTCAAGCCGCGCTTAAGGAGAGGTGAGATTTGTATCAGCTTTGAGAGGCCCATTAAAACTTTTTTTGTTTGTTTGTTTTTAAAAAATGGGGTTGTGTCGAGTTGTTACGAGCAGTAAATATCCTACCTACAGAGTGTAGGAATCAAAGGGAAACAGTCTCAGAGCGWATGTGCGCCACCAAAAACTACTGTTTGAGCAAAGACTAAAAAAAAGTATGTTAGTAAAACATCTCAAAATGTCTCACTGACTGGACTGTAATGAAATTCACAGAAAGGAATCACTGTATGCAGTAACAGGTGGTGGTGATATTTGTAGGGTGGGCTAAAAGAGATACAGCGGGTAAAATAAGTATTGAACACGTCACCATTTTTCTCAGTAAATATATTACTAGAGGTGCTAATGACATGAAATTTTCACCAGATGTYGGTAACAACCCAAGTGATCCATATATACAAAGAAATCAAACCATAAATGTCCAGAAATKAAGTTATTTGTAATAATGTGGAATGGCACAGGGAAAAAGTATTGAACACACTTACTGAAATTTATCTAATACTTTGTACAGAAGCCTTTGTTGTCAATGACAGCTTCAAGACGCCTCCTGTATGGAGAAACCAGTACTTATTTTACCCGCTGTATATAGTAAAAYGCTGCAGATTAGATTCCAGCAGAAGCATTTAAACAAAAATAGATTTGTTAGTTACATTAGCCAGTCCTTTCATTAAAWCCAGGTCACAGAAAACCTTTTTCCTTTTGCTGTATTTGAATATCTTTTGGTCTATCCTCTCCCATCCTCTTCACTTCCAGTTTTTCCTCCAAAGAAATGAAGGAAAACGAATGAAAAATTAAATAATCCACCTCGTTTATGTTTATCTCCCTCGCCATCGTACCTACTCAGTCTATGCCAAACCACGTGCTCGAGGCACGTTATTGTTCATCCACCCTCACTGGCTGAAGCCTGTGGCTTTGGGCTGACCTTGGGCTAAACAAAATTAGCCCCAACGAGCAGCAAACCCAGGGGGCGGGGCAAGACGTCTGTCAATCATTTTGTACTGCAAAAAAACATGAAATGAACAAAACTGTGAAACGTCAGCCCTTTAGAAAGACGCTGGTGTTTCCTCAAAACTGTTTGGGACTAGTTTTTCACAAAACGTGATACAATATTTTTAAATTTGTGTTTATTAGATGTTTTAAATTTTTTATCCTAAACACCAGCTAAACACCAGGAGGGCTTAGCCCTACTAGCCCCCAATACCAGCCGTCCCTGACTGTATATAAAACATTTGAAGTCAGACTTATTCAAAATGGACGTCTCATCAAACTGACTGCAGCCAACACAATAATAATTGCAACCCAGTTGATTTTACAGATACTGGGCTAATACTTGTTGTGGTAGTAGTTGAGAATTATCCTCGACGTGTACTCTGAGCACTAACTAATCACGCAAGGTCTTTGTTTGAACTTTGCCAATAACTCTGTGACTCAACTGATAGCACAAATATCTCACGAGCTGCTTATCAGATTAAAAAGTAATGATTGGACAAGCATCTAAAACTGATTAACTTCTAAAATCAACTCAATTTAAGATGTCTACTGCAGCTGATGGACTATAACAAATAAGCTACTTTGCTCCAGTTGTTTATGTTGTCACTTTATTTTCAATCAAACATCAGTGTTACTAGGTGTAACTGTGGCTGCTGAATATTTTGTATCAACTGAGTCTCTGTTTTGTTGTCGGTGTGACTGAGCTCATATATGCCCTCGTCTCCCCCTAGAATAAAAGAAAAGTTTTCAGAATCTCACAGTTTTGCCTGTTTGCTTGTTGTTTTCTTGATAATATGACACATCAATTCGTGGAAGTCTTTGAGCACATAGCATGCGGGTGTTTAAGGAAGAAAACAGAGCTGATGCAAACAACAGCTTCATAAAAAAAACATGACGTGATGTTCATTTGAGGTTTGAGGTGGAACTTAACTTTTAGGTGGAAGTCATTTGCTCTCGTCTGGGATCTGCTCTGATTGGCTGTWAGCTTAAGGATTTCTTCCTGTTTTCTTAAAATTGGGTCTGATCTGATTACTGTCTACTTATAGCTCCCCCCCCACCATGCACACACACGCACACACAAGTCCAAATAACTCTGATATAATCATTAACTGGAAACTGTCAATCTGTTGAAAGCTTATGGTCTGTAATCTGTAAAGAAGATAGACCTCATCCTGTACATGTTGGGCCTAAAACCCAAACATGTAATGTTGATTAATGAGAAAATTWAAGTGYATTATTTGCATAGATATCTGATACAAACATTAGCTGTCTCTTATCTCACTTTCTCGAGCAAAGTTTCCAAACTTCCAGCTAATAACTTTACTTTGTATCTTGATCCACAGCTCGACCCCCGCCTCTTGACCTGAGAGGCCTTTCTACAATCACCGAATGTCCCACTCACATTCCTTTAAGCAGAGCGATCACAGAGTTATGGTGAGGAGAAAAAAACAACATATTTATGTACTTTAAATGATAAATGACACTTTGATTGGACTGAAATTAGTCCTCCAAAATTGTTAATATGAATACATACCAGTATAGTTTTAAAATGATAGTTATAATCTTTTGAAGTTAGATTCTATGGAAAGGTTRTAAACAGTATCTTACCTGTTGCAGATTAGTTTTTTGATGGTCAATTTCTGACCCAGAAGTGTCACAAGATTGTTGCAAGACTGTTCATTTATTACAGTCAGATAAAATATATTAACTAAAATGTAGGTTTTTTTTCTAGGGATCCAGTTTTTTTAGTCACTTGTGCCTTTTTCTATTTTGACTTGTTCATAATGTCTTTGTGTGCCTGCAGCTTCCCAACAAACCCCTCACTTCTCGACAGAAGACTTGAGAACGGCGACAGTTTGAGCAACGAAGTGGCAAACGGCTCTGTTTTGGTAACATAAGAAATTAAAGCACATTTTGAAACAACAACACATTTACAAAATACAACTGAAACTGTTTAATTCATCCTACCTAATAGGATGTTGCCTGATCTAAAAAGTTAAAATAGAAAAAACAGAGTGTGTTTAAGTATTTGTATCGCATTGTATTTGTAGAAAAAAAACAATTTAGATTATTTTTTTACTTTTTTGTGTAGAAACAAAATTACAATATCATGTGTGAGTAGAAAATGTTCTGAAATTTCCTAAACCTAGATAAAAAAGTACAAAAGTTTAAATTATTTTTTATTCTTTAACTTAATTATACTTTAAAAAAAGTTGGAAGTTATTTTAAGCTTGATTTTGTCCACATTTGGCTCAACTTTTAATAAATTATTCAATAAATGGATACTTGATTCATTCACAAAGGAAAAGGCTCAACAATATGTGTAATAAAGCTTTAAGAAAGGCTGATTAGTCGTGTATATTTCATAAAGTAAATTTATATTCTGTTCAGTTTAGACTTTTAGTTTGGCATTATATTTTTTTGTGAAGTAGTTTTCATTCAGTAACATCTTTGTGTATTTTTTCTCTGGCAGGAATCGAGGCCCTTGTCCTGCCTCACCTTTGATGGAAACTTTCAGCCCTGGAGCAGAAGTTCAAACCTCGATTATTTGTCTCTGGATTTCAACTCAGCATCCCCCTCCCCGGTGCAGAAGGTAAGTGGTGGTGAAGTCGAATTWATTATATAATGCTTTAAATGAATTTTTAAAAGTGTAATATTTTAATAATGCACAAACGTTATGTATATTCTACAAAGGATGCCAGGTTTAAGGGATTAAAAGCAAAAGTTAAAAAAAATCTGTTTCCACAGATTTTGCTCAGACATCTGCTAAAAGTGTCTGAGAATAAACGATAAACGGACAAACAATAAAGCTGAATAAATTCTTACATCCAGGATCAATAAACTTTGTAATCCGTGTAACAAATAACCCCACACCTCAGTGGCAGAAAACACTGCAGGTGCCACAGTTGTGTGAAATTCGTGCAAGCTTCAAGGAGTTTTTGGTCCAAAAGTTGCATGAAGCTTGTTGCAACATTTGTGAAATAAACACAAACGTCATTTCAGTGCAATTCAAAGTAAAAATGTAYGTATTTTCTCGCAATTACGTATCTCAAACTGGTCTCCAACAGTGGCAACCCAGTGAGATGCTAACATCAAATATACTGCCTCGGCTYGTTTATTGAAACAGATGACACTAAATGTTAAAAGTGTAAAATATTMAAAAATTCTCACCGCTGTCTTCTTTCCTTTAACTCCATGTGTCTCCTAGAAGCCATTCCTGTCTGATGAGTACAAAGTGGACTACGTGCAGGTGGACGAGAAGAAGACTCAGGCCCTTCAAAACACCAAGATGGAATGGACAGATGTCCGTCAGTCTAAAACATAAATGCAACATTTCTGATTACAACAATGTAAACATGTTTAAAAAGAAGAAAGGAGGATCAAACAGCACTTTGAAAGACAGAATTAGAACCACAGGAGCAGAGAAGAAATCAGATGCTCATTTTTTGTGGAGAAAGCACAAAAGTTGCACTGGTGAAACTGTGTGAACTTTCTGCAGACCTGAACTGTTTTTACTGCTCAATTATGCAATGATCACTGTGATTATTCTGCTCACTGTCCTCTAAAAGCTTTAATCAGTCTAGTTATACAGAAAAAAAAGAGCATGTAAATGTATGTATAAAAAAAGTAATATAAAAACTTGAAATCTAGGTGTTTGACTTTGTGGGTATCAGCAGCAGCACACTGCAGTTGTACATTTTGTACATTTTATTAGCATATTTGCAACTCTTTCTTTTTCCTGGTTACACACGTGTTGCGTCACGGACATGCGCACAACGGAGCCAGGAATGGAGGAGGCTTGGGAGAAGTGGAGAGAGGAAGTCATCTCGTTTTGACGCTGTGGTTTTGCTGTGACCACCTGGAGGGGGGTACGTTTGGCTGAGAAGCAGATAAAAACAGTCGAGTCGCCGGTCGGCCTCACTGACCTCCGCCTTTCTTTTATAGTTTTGCTGCGGCGCGACAGTCACGTTACAACCACAAACTGAATGGAAAGGGGGGAACTACAGACTGTGTGTGTCTGAGTATTGTATTTTCAGCAGTCTTGTATGAAGGGGGGAGAGAGTATGGTAGCAAACACCACCTTGATAGCAGCTGGAAACAAATGAAGGCGGTGAAAGCTGCCCCGCGGCCTGCCTCGACCTCCAGCCAGCTAAGTAAAGAAGTTAAAGCCAAGTTAGCTCCGGCTCGGTTCTGGACCTGACCCGTGTGGCCAGGCTGAGTGTCGGTAAGTTCCTTCACCACCCAGTTAGCTGACTGGGTTTGTTGTATTATGGTGTTTGTGTAGAAATTCAGACTGTGTGAAAAGTTCAGCTCCTCTGCAGGTCTTTATGATAAAGCTAACAACATGTAGCCTGTTGCTTCACATTAAAACCTCACGCTGCTAATTTTGTTTGACTAAAACACAATTTATAATATCTAATGAAGTATTCCCACTAGTATTTTCATTTAGCAGCAAACAATAGATTCACAACCAACAGATTATTGCAAACTTACATAATGTTTGTAGCTAGCACCTGGTTTAAAAGCAATTTCTGGTAGATTAATCTAAACCAGAGGAGCCCAAAGTGGGGCCCGTGGGCCAAATTTGGCCCACCAAGCCATTTGATTTGGCCCACCAACAGTTGCCAAAGTTAAAAGGTTGTAACCTGTTATCCTATGTAGAAACACAGTATTTCCATTGGTCAAATGACTGTATAAAAGGGCTGTAGTGAAGGTAGTTTTCATTCATGGTGCTGACTTTATCTTTGATTTATTAGGATTAAACATGACACATGAAATGACAAGAAATATTTTGTTCACATTTAACCTCACATGTAGATTTGCACACTTTATAAGGCCACAAAAACTCAGATTTTATCAATTTATGAAATGCCCCATGAGCCTTTCCTACTTCAGCATATGGCAGACTTTCTCCAAGTACCCAGACTAAAACAAAAGATGGCCATTGCACAGCTTAATCGTTAGAAATAAAGGACTTTACTTTAAAAAGTATTTGTATTTCATGTATTATATTACTTTATTTGGCCCACTGCCCTGGATAGATTTTCATTTTGGCCCCCTCGGGGAAAATGTTTGGGCACCCMTGATCTAAACAGTCTGTTTTCATAATGTATAATATATAGGTTAATGTGGTAGCTATACCTGCATTTATTTGTCCCACACTTTCCTAGCCACAATAATAATTAAAGTAGACTTATAATGTTAAAAGAAAATGTACCTTATATAAACTGTTATTTAGTATTATTTCAGTGCAGAAAAAAATAAACAGATGCATGCATGGTAACGTGTTTTAATCTGGATCTGATTTGGACTGAATTTGATTTATAATTTAGACTTTTAATTTAAACTGCATTACGTATGCTGAATTTTGTCAATCTCTTTTCTCAAAGGATTAAAATCTGTATTCCTTAAAAATGTTTTTTTTTTCATTTTTGTAGTAAAAGAAATATATTGTTGCCTGTTAGTCTGTTTGCCTTAACTTGATGTTTACAGGTTCAGCCCCAAAGCATATCCAGCTTTTTCTATTTTCCTTAAATGAAACCGTTAATTAACTCACCCTACGTTATTTTGAAGACGACTTGACATTTAAGGTCCATAAATGTAAATGATTAGGACCTTAAACCAAAACAGTTTCTGAGATCTGCGTTCTTTTTCTTTTGTGTGTATTTTAAAGTAAGGGTTTCTTCTAGAAATGGACAGAAACCTTATAATTTGAGTGTGTAAATGTGCAGGAACCTTGTAAATCTGATTTCTGATTTTRTTTTTTACTACAGGGCTCCGATAGAGGAAATGCTTCACTTTTCACTCAGCTGATTTTTAAACTTCAACCATTATGACTTTTCCCTGCCTCTTGCTGTTCTAAGTGTAGCTGCCATGACTTCTCACAAAGTTGATGAGCAGCTGAGCGATGGGAAGGATTCGGCCTCGGTCACCTGTCAGCTTCCCCGTCCTGGTCCTGATGGCGTCACGGAGGAGCTTCAGTCAGATTCGGTGACCACGACGGCGAAATCTCCAAAAACATGGAAATTACGGAGGACTGCCTTGACCTTTTTTGGCGTTCGTAGAAGYATCTGCATTTTGCCAAGTTTCTTTGGAGGGAGGATCAAAAATCAGAGCAAGAAGGGAATCTGCAGAAGCAAAACACACGATGGGCTGAGCAAGGTCAGTCATGACGATGGTCCCAGGAGYGGCTACGTCTCGGCTGGAGATCTGGCCTGCCATAGCCAGAGGGACGCAGCAGGAGAGCTCCGCAGCGCCTGCCACAGTGAATGTAGTCACCCCATCACTGACCAGAAATCACTGACTCTTGGCCGGCAGAGAAAAGGTTTTAGGAGCCTTTTTCAAAGTTTTAAGCAGCACAGAGGTCAGAGAAACGCTGAACCGAGTAAGACTGCAGACTCCTCTCCTCTGTGCAAGAAAGAGGTGCCTGTTGTCCAACACACCACCAACCTGTACGCCACCGAGTGCCTTGGAGCTGAACCCGATGTGCCTGATTTTTCAGATGTGATGTGCAATGTCTCAGTTGATGTTACTTGTAGTCATGAAGCTGCAGTAGTAGAACCTTGTACAGAAAGGGCGAGTATAAAGTCTAAGCTCGATGCTCAGGCATGTGATGGTCAACTGGAGGACGTGGATTTAAAGGTAGGAGTGTCCAGTAAATATGAGGAGACTTCTAGGCGTTCCAGTGAGCCCTGTCTGAAAATTCAGGTGGCTTCTGAGCCCGTATTGAAATCTCAAACCACCACCAGCTCATCGGATCAGCTGAACCTTATGTTTGGAGACGTTGCATCGTTGAAGAGCTTCGATTCGCTCACTGGTTGTGGGGACATAATCGCAGATCAGGAGGATGACAGCTTCACGGAAAGCACCGTTTCTGGAGAACGGAGCCGAAATGGAGGGAAGCGGGCCTCTTGTTGTCTTACTTATCAGGGCGGTGGAGAAGAAATGGCCTCACCTGAGGATCTGGATGACACGGGTCTTCGGGACTTCTGGGAAAACAACACGTCGGAGGACGTCCGCTGCACTTGCGATCCAGAGCAGGCAGACGTGACGGAGCTGACGAGTTCTCACAACATGGACACGCTGAACAGCAGCAGCGCTCAGCAGGCWGGTGGCATGGACACCTCCTCCATTGCTGATGATTTAACTCCTCAAAGTGAACATCAGGAGTCKGTTCCGAACAGTGATGAGGGCTATTATGATTCTACCACACCAGGGCCAGACGACGGGCAAGAAAAAAGTGACCGGTTACGAGCAGCTAGTCTTCCCAGGGACAGTTACAGCGGTGATGCTCTCTACGAACTGTTCGCACCTGACGAGAGCCTCATCAGTCCTCATTATGAGAACAAATCACAGCTTCCTGGTTCGAAACACTGTGATTATTTAACTGAGCCTGTCGGAGCAACAAATCCTACCTTTGTTCCTGAAATGAGTCRGTTACAAATAAGTGCTGAATTGTACAAAGACAGTTTTATAGAAATGCCAAGTAAATCCTTGGTGTTGGCACAAAATGTGGTGGGTTTGCAGGAAATGAGGGCGAATAAAAACTGCACCTTGAATTCCAAATCTCAAGCGTTAGTCAGTGTGAATAATATCAAACAAGGAATGTTTAAGGAAAAAGGAAATGCTTCCACTGAGAAAATAAAGTCTGTCAACAGTGACTGTGAAAAAAGGCGGAGAAGTTTATCGTTTGGAAGCACGTCTGACCCAGACTTTGAAACTTTCTGTGAACCCAAAGAGGAACATCTTGAGGAAAACAAACCAGTGGCTTTGCCGTATAAAAACATCAACCATCAGTCCGAGGACTCTACTGCTTACTTGGCAGATGGGCAGACGGTGTGCTTCTCACAAGCGCTCGTGGATTACACCAAACACGCTCAAATGCTGAGCGACTCGGAGATGAACTCCGCCTTCACGCCAAATATGGAGGCCTTACCCACCATAGTCACATTTGACGTTGTGGATCTGCATAACGAGGGGGAATACGACGAGCAAATTCACATGGATCTAGAAGAGGATACATCGCTACCCTTTCAAGAGTTTGAAGAAAGCTACCTACAAAAAGATGCGTTCGCTGAWTGTGACTATCAAATGCTGGAACTGTTTGAACAGAACTTGATCAGCAACACGTGGGCTGTTGCCAGTCTCCCGCGGAACCTAGGCCTAGCGAGAGTGGGCCAGTCCGCACTGAACCCACTGTCCCTGGACAGGAGAAGTAGGTCTTTAGACACAGAAAGCCTTGACACGTACAGCGAGAACGGAGCCGCTCTATGTTCTCGTCCTCAAACCGAAGAGGACTCTGAGAGRGACTGTTCGCTGTATCAGAAGAAGAATGTAGTTCCGTCTGCTTCAGAGGTCAGAGACACCAACAGCACCACAGCCTCGGTGTGGCAAACRAGGTCCGATGTGGCTTTGAGCCTTCCTTTGACAGACGGAGAAATCACTGAAAAAGTCCAGAGTCTTGGTCAACCCAGAGCAGAACACAAGCTGCTCTCCTGGGCATCAAACCATAATTATCTGAAGTCTAAGTCCCAGCTACATTGCTCTAACCCGTCAGACAACTTGAGTGATTTGGTTTCACAGAAAGCAGAACTCTACAGTAAACAGCATCCCCTTCCTTTGACAGATCCTTGTTCACCTCAAAGCTCTTTGGTTTATTCAGGATTGATGGAGGGAGACTTGGATATCAGTGATGAGGTTTTCTTTAAGGCCTCTGCTAGTTTGCAGTCCTGTAATCAGGACAGACCTGTAGCTGGTGGGGAAGATGGTTCTTATAGTCCCCTGAATGCAGCTGCATCTAAAGATGAAACATTAATGGATGTGCTGATCTCTGTGGCCTGCAGTGAACACTCTGAAGCTACCTGCAACTCTTGATCACATATGAGTTAAAGTGGTTTGGGATCTTTATCAATGCGTCAATTTTATCTTTTTTTTTCTCGCACAAATTGTCAATTTTAACAGTTGTTACAGTCATGGACAGAAAGTGAAATTGAATTTAAAACTTTACAGAACTGTGGAGTAACCACACTTCAAGGCCTGGAAGATTATTATTATTTCTTTGCATTTACATGTTATCTCTGTTACATTGCACACAGGTTACACAGGTGGTTGAAGGTATTTATTAAAAATATATAATAATTGCAGTAAAAAAAATCCCACAGTGTAATAACGTCAAGCTTCTGAATGTTATACCCACATATACCCTTACTTTATAAGGCTGTGTTGTCCAATCCTGGTCCTCAAGGACCACCATTCTGCATGATGTAGATGTTTTCCTGCTTTAAAGCAGGTTTTAAAGTTCTGCAGAWGCTCTCAATCATAAATTCAAATCAGTTGTGTTAAAGCAGAGAAATGTCTGAAACATGCAGGGTGGCCCTCGAAGACCAGTATTAAACACCACAGCTGTAAGGATTTTGATCACCAGTCTTGTTTCCTTTGCACAATCTTAACAGAAATGAAACAATGTTTCTTCATTTGTTGCCTTTGAATATGAATGCTTAATGTTTTTAAATGTTTGTGTTGCGTTTACAACCTGTCACTGCTGTATTCAAGACTATTTTAGCCTGGCTTTGTCGTTTTCCTTAATATCAGACCATTATTGTGTTAGATCAATATCTCATGAGCTCCAACACCTTCAGTGTTAGATTTCCATAATATGTATCTATTTTTAGTTTGATCTTGACATGTCCATCAACTGGTTTGACTTTTTGACCCAACAGAAGATAAGCAAATACAGGAAATAATCTGATAGGGATATTTTATGATCTTGATAGTGTTTTAACTTCAGCTGATTTTTACATACCGTAGACAGCTTTGCAAGGCAAAACTACAATATTTGTTTAACTTATTTCACATGCAAATTTAGAAAAATCTAGAACAGATTTRCATATGACACCAAGAAACCTGCTCCGAAGCAGTTAAGGAAAAATAAAATCATAGACAAAAGTAKTTTGAAGAAAAAGGTACAGAATAAGTTTATATTTGCCGCTTGGTTGACAAGAGAGTGTGACTTTTTGTTTTTCTTTTCTTCATTTTTAGCAGTTTGACAACGTGCAAAATTCTTACTGAAATACTGCATTGACATTACWGTACTGGTATGTGTTTTGGTAAAGCTTCATCTTAGGAAACGATACATTTTTATAGCATAATACTGAATATTAGTGAMTTAGTATTTATATTTTCAGCTGTTTTTAGACTGTGTTGTGTACATAATCATTACAAATTGTCATTGTGGTTTTGAATTTTGTTAATTTTTTTCTCAATACCTGTTTTGTCTGAATAGAAAACTGCCTTACACAAAAATAAACATGACATTATATAATTTATTTTGTCCTTTATCTTGTGCTGGTTACTTTTGGGGACATGAGGTACTGTTTATGACAACAACCTGTGTGTGTGTGTGTGTGTGTGTGTGTGTTTGTGTGTGTGTAAGAGAAGGGATGTCTCGGCACAAAAATATTGTGCTCTCATGTTTACTGACGTCTAAAGTGAACTTGCACAAAAACCCCAGTGGAAGTCAGAACTAAGTTGCTGTACTTCCCCTAACACAGCATGTGGTTGAAAATCAGAGTATACATGTGTATTTAAATGCACTTTCTTCTACATGAGTTCCTTTACAGTTAAAACGGTAAAAGCATAATGAGCTAAATTAAGTTCTGTATTTTATTTTCCTGATTTTGGAGCTTATCATCGTGCTTGCACGTGTGTGGAACTGTGACATCTATCAAATCAATCTAAATTCGTCCATTAATAATAATAATAATAATAATAATAAAGTGGTCAGTGAAGGTATTTTGACCCTGTGTTTTTTCACTGTCACATTTCCTCGTTTCCCTCGCCTTATCTGGCAACCCTGTGCAAACTGCGACAGCGCCAATGGCAGCAAAACAGAACTGTTACAGGCGAGGAGGATGTCAGCAACAAGGTGAGGAGATGAGCGCCGTTTGAAGAAGTCGCCCATGGCAGTGACGAGCCTGCACAGTATGTACCGAGTCGTGATGTGTTGTCTTCGTTTCAGCGTCGTCCGGATCATAACGCGGCCGTCAACTTTATATCTAGTTGCGGTAGTACTCTGGCTAAATTGTTAGCAGATGCTCAGCATCTGAGGGCTAGGTATTAGCGGCTAGGCGCTTTAAGTTCACCGCTAGCTGGAGGTGTTGTGTCAAGCTGCGTTCCCCCCCATCAAGATGCGTTCCCCGACCAGGCTCCGCCCAGTCAAGCCGGTGGAAAACCGCAAAGTCGCTTCCCTACGTAGCTGCTTGGACGGGGCGGAGCTGCCGGAGAAACATCTTGACGGGGGAACACATTTCGACACAACACCAAGTTGCCTGACAAGCTGTAATAGGTTAGCGGTGGCTTAAAACAAGCTTTATCCGATCATTTTTTCCTCCACATTAGACCAGCGATTTTACTCAAATTAGTCAGATTTTGCTCAGCCGAGACGATGACACCACATTGAGTTAGCCAATGTTGAAATAGCTCCTAGCGTATGATAATGCATCTCGGGCCTGAAGGTGTCAAAGCAGTTATTTTCTTATTAAATTGTGTCTCGGATGTGGTGTTTAGTGCAGCAGTCGTGGCGTTTGTTTAAAAAAAGTTTAGTAAATTTAACTTGTCACGTGCTGTCACTGTTCATCAGTGTCATCCTTCTGAACTGTTGCTGCTTAAGGATATTAAACACTTCAGTTTTTGTATTGACGTGTCAACTTGTTGGATTTACTCTCAACTACAGTGCTTCAAAAATGAAAACATTGCTTTAAAATGTGGTTTGCTTTTCTTAGCCTCCCTATAGTTCCTTCTATTTTAAACCTTAGTGTGTTTAATCACATTCAGAAAAGCTCAAATTAGTTTTGTGCGTAGATTGTTGCAGAAATCAAGCAGAGCAAAGTTGGTTAGAAGTTAATAAAATAGGGGAGAAGCCGGTTAAAGTTTAAAGACAGTTTGGGTTATTTTTTATCATATCAAATCAATAAAGGATGTGCAGGTTTTGCCTTGATGTAGCTTAACACAAATGTGATGGAAAGTTTTATCATGAGTGTTAATGTCTGCTAAAATGATATAAAGGTTTACTATGACATGTAGATTTAGACATAATGTGCACTTTACAGCTCTGTGGTTTATAAAGCACGTTTTCCCTCAGTGACAGTAGTTTTTTTTTTTACTTGGAAGTGCTGCTTTGACTCATTTGACAAAAGGGAAAATCCTTTGTTTTGTTTGTGCGCATTAGATGGCCCACAAACAGATCCCCTGGTTGGTGTAGTTGAATGGATCGAAGCCAGCGTTCAGCCCTCCAGTTTCAGCAGCTCAAATGTCACTGGTCTAATGAGTCAGATGATGGTAGTAGCGTAGTGCCATCGTCTGATCAAAGCCAAAAAGGTAATAAGATCATAATGTTTTGCATGGCTCTGTGCCCTGGGTGACAGTTTGCTGGGACTTTTCTTTGTTTGCATTGACCAAAAAGCTCACTTCTAATTAATAATATGCATGCAGTCGTCAKGCTTGTAGGAGTAGCTGATTTAAAACTAAAAAACAGTTTTATTTTTGTTGCTGGTGTCTCCCAGAAATAATTAATGTCTTKTAGTTTTGTATTGATTTAGTTTTGGTGAAAGTTTACAGCAAAGTGATGAAAGTACTGTTTTTCCTTTTGAAAATCAGTAATAGGAGAAACCTCTGCTCCGAAACTGGTTTGGATTGATGCAAACACAATCTGCGCAAGGCCGCGCAGCTTCCTGGTGATTTAATTTAGTAAAGACATCAAATCGCTAATATGGACCAATAACAAACTCTAGCGTGGTTCATCTCTGCTCATTGCTGGATTCTGYGTTGGGTCAGCAGTGTAAAAAAGACGTCTCTTCCAGCCTTACTTCACTTGTTGCTATGGAGCAGAGCTACGTTAGATGACGAGCGTGCAGAGACGGTCCAGAGGCCTTGCTGAGAGTAAAGCTTGTGAATCTGGAGGTGGACTGGAAAGCACTGCTACGTTGAGCATGTATTGATATGGTCATGGAATGACTCAAATGGCAGTAGGCAGTGTGAACGGCTCCATGGGATCTGTCACTAATTCTTAAAGCGTCAAACATTCGCCTTATTCAAACCGAAGCTCTAATCAGTGAAAAACGAGGTGTTTATTTAGCTGAAAACTATCTATCCACTTTTCAGTATCTGTGCGTGTCGAGGTTGTTGTCGGTGACGTATTAAAACAGAATCCAGGTCCCTGCAGTGGAGGTGGACTTGTCTATCTCTTGGTGGAGATTTTGTAAAATGCTTTTTGTTTCAGAATCTGCTGCCTAAAGATTTAAAGAGTGGAGTTGGAGTGTTAGTGAAAGTGCTCCGCGTTTACTGGCTGCATGAAAAGAGACGATGAGCCGTGTTTGTGTTAGTCGTGACTGGTAAAAAGGAGTTAGCTGATGACAAGGCTGTGTTGCTAAGCAACCCGCATCATGGGCTGTGCCTCTTGAAGCTTGAAGCTCGCCATACTCTACTTTATGCAAGACAAGAGGAAAGTGAATTCTAATGCGCCCTCTAATAAATCTTAGGAACAGTTTTGGGTTTTTTGGGCAACCGTGTGTGTGTGGAGGAGGAAATAAGCAGCGTTGCATCCTGCAGCCTCCTTTGCAGAGCAGTCGTGCTCCCTGTGGACTCCTGTTCAGTTCTGATTGTCTGTCAGAGAGCTGGAGGCGCAGGGATACACTGCTCAGCCCACACTATCAGGTTATGCTAACTCGTGCGCTCGCTCCATGTGTGACTGGGCTCTAACGTTGCCTGTGTGAGTGGTTGTTTTTTTCTTTTTTTCTTTTTGCGCTCACAAGGAGAGCAGCAGCATTGTTCTGCGGTTGCATTAGCACATTTTGTACCAGACTCTGATTTTCATTTGAAAATCCTTCAGCTGAAGAGACAGCGAAACTGTTGTCTGGTAATATTGGTGTTTTTCTCCCACAAGGTCCAGACGTGGTGCCGGAGAAAATCAGTGGTTTGATCAGGGATTAAAACATCTGGCGTTTGCATACACGCAAAACTAAAAAAGCAGATTTTGTGTGGAAGTTTTCCTGTAGTTTTCACAAGTTTAGAATTTCAAATAGACTGTATATTTTGTCCTTTTCAAAACTACATGCATAAACAAACAAAGTATTTTCTTTTAAAACTTATGAAGTTTAGGTTTAGCAGCATACAATCTGTCCTGACCTTTGTATTTTTGCTTTTTTTTTTTCAGAATTATGTAGTTTCAGTTCGCCTGCTCAAATAGAGGAAACCACATTACTTTGGCTATAAAAAGGATTTCAAGCGCTAAGATCCAACAGCGAATATGATTCTTTGGCTGCGGCAGCGGTGAGGAAGCATGGAGCGGAATCCTGGGATGTCGAGACGAACGTGATGACAGCATGGTCCATGGTGGAGAAGCTCAAAAATGGAAAAACGCCCATGCAGGGAGGAGAACATTGACTCGAGAGAGACCCGGCATGCTGCCGACGAGTCTGAGGACGGAAGCAGCTCAGAGAGCGAGTTGGAGGAGCAGCAGCCCACGAGGGCTCAGGTGAGCAGCAACGGCTGTAAGAGGAGGGAGCCCTTGGCCATCACCAAACCCCACCGTCAGCTCTGTCGCTCACCATGCCTCGACCGGCCCAGTTTTTCTCAGAGCAGCACCGTGCAGGATTTTCGCGACGATGACGCCAGCGCAGCACCAGGGCTTAAACTTGCCATTGGAAGAGAGTATCAGTCAAAGATGGAGTTTGCTCTGAAGTTGGGCTATTCAGGAGAACAGGTGGAGGCGGTGCTCAACAAGTTGGGTGCTGCGGCGCTGATTAACGACGTTCTTGCTGAGTTGGTGCGGCTTGGAAACAAAGTGGAGCCTGAACTTCAACCGTGCAGCAGCACGTTCACGTCAGTATCACATCCTTCCTGTGTTAAAGAAGCTGCTAGTCCTGAAGTTTCAGTGGAAGATGACTCTGTGGATATCTATGACAACCTCAGGCCCATCGTCATTGATGGTTCAAATGTGGCTATGAGGTAAGAAACTTGTAAACACAAACATGCACATACATTTAGGACTATTTGTACTGATGGATGTCCRTTCCTTTAGTCGTTGGGAGACCTTACACTAGGTTGTGTTTTCTAGTCACGGGAACAAAGAGGTATTCTCCTGCCGTGGTATCCAGCTTGCTGTCGATTGGTTTTTGGAAAAAGGGCATAAAGACATCACTGTGTTTGTCCCAGCCTGGAGAAAGGAGCAATCTAGACCTGACGCCCTCATCACAGGTACTACAAGAGTGTTTATGCAGCTGCCGGCCATTCATAATACCCAAAATGTCCCATTGAAGTTCCCCGAATAAAAAGCTGAAACTGCCACTTGTCTGTTTTTGACAAGACTTATCCAGAGGTTGAATCGTTTTCTCTTTCAGATCAGGAAATTTTGCGCAAGCTAGAGAAACAGAAGATCCTGGTTTTCACCCCGTCTCGAAGAGTTCAGGGCCGAAGAGTGGTGTGCTATGACGATCGCTTCATAGTGAAGCTGGCGTTTGATTCTGATGGAATTATTGTGTCGAATGACAACTACAGGGACTTGCAAAACGAGAAGCCAGAGTGGAAGAAGTTTATTGAAGAGCGCCTCCTGATGTATTCATTTGTTAACGACAAGTAAGAAAACCTGGTTTAATTTTTATTACGGCCAAGTTGTGTAAAATACTTGGACTGCTAATAGAGATGCTCTTTATTAGAAATGTCACATTTATTACAAAACAAAGTATTTTATGTGCATGTTGGTAACTTGTATTAACGTAAAATTTTTAATGCAGTTTAAGATTATCTGCTTGTGGCATTCACTGGTAACGTACAAAAAACACTTTGCTCCGCCTGTAATTTAGTTGCTTTTGGCTGGTTGTTTTTATTAGGTTCATGCCGCCTGATGACCCACTGGGAAGACACGGGCCAAGCTTAGAAAATTTTCTCCGCAAGAGACCAGTTGTTCCAGAATACAAGAAACAGCCTTGCCCCTATGGTAAGTGTTTTTAAGCAGTTTCTCAATAGTTGTTCTTTTCTTCTAGAATGATTTAAACARTCCATGTTCACCACTTGGATCGTTCTTTCTTTTAAACCAGGGAAAAAGTGCACATACGGACATAAGTGCAAATACTATCATCCCGAGCGTGTCAACCAACCGCTGCGCTCTGTGGCTGATGAACTGCGAGCCTTTGCCAAACTGTCTGCAGTAAAAACAATGAGCGAGGGGGCTTTAGTTAAATGTGGCACAGGTCCAGCAGCTGTAAAGGGTGATGGCAGCTCTGAAGCCAAACGCGTGGCACCCAAACGTCAGTCTGACCCCAGCATTCGCTCAGTGGCCTGTGAACCTCCAGAGGCGCTCTCTGTTGTTCGGAAGTCTGAGACAAATTCAGTGCCTTCCCTCGTGTCTGCTCTCAGCGTRCCCACCATGCAGCCTGCCAAGAGCCACGCAGCTGGAGCCTTGAACACACGATCTGCCAGCAGCCCAGTTCCAGGTTCTCTGCAGTTTGCTCACAACTCCCTAGAGCACATGTCCAGTGTTCAGTACCCCCCCATTTTAGTCACCAACAGCCACGGCGCCTCTGTCACATACGGCGAACAGTTCCTGAAGTATGACTCGGTTAGCGATCATGGATACTATTCACTCCACAGTGATTTTTCAAATATGAGCATGAGCAGCATGCATAATGTGGACAGTTTCTGTAGCATGGAGCACGAGCATGTGTATCAGAGAAATCCCAGCCACTGCGCCGAATCCTGCCTCAGCCACTCCAACAGTGACTCGTTCTCCTCTTACGGGGACATGTACCCAAGCTCCGTGGACAGCAGCTTGGAGGAGAGCATCAAAGGACAGCAGCAAGCTCCTGCACAGAGTCGGATGCAGGCCTTCTCCCGTGGATTTCGTCATGAAGCKCTGTCCAGAGTGCAGAGCTACGGACCGGAGGAGCCCAAACAATGTCCCCACAAGCAGTCCGAAGCTCACCTGGCGCCACATATCCAGCATGCAGCTGTGGGAGCCCGGTCCAGCTGTCCTGGAGACTACCCGCTCACTCAAAATGTCCTCCCGCCTTTGTCCTCCCAGCCAACGCGGTCTCTAGGCATGACTCGCATGGACAGCATATCAGATTCAAGGCTATACGACAGCAACCCAATGAGACAGAGGCGACCGCCGCTGTGCCGCGAGCAGCATGCGAGCTGGGACCCCCTGCCCTGTGGGAACGAGTCCTTWGGATATCACTCATATCCGCTCAGTAACAGCTTGATGCCATGTTGCGAGCGAGTGATGGTCCGCAGCATGCCAGACAAAATGGAACAAATCTGGAACTCGCCGTGGGAGACCCCATCTGCAGTCGAACACCAAGAGCGGTACGTTATTCCAGATCACCAGTATCAGACATACAGGAACCTTTGTAATATCTTTCCTGCTTACATAGTCCACTCAGTCATGGAGAAGAACCCTCAATTGACAGATCCACAACAGCTGGCTGCTGTCATTGTTACAAAACTGAGGTCAGGACACTGAGCAGCTATAAAGGAGTAATTTGATTACCAATTAGGCACTTGTTAAATGTTGCTTCAGTGTGCAACATCTGCCCTCAGGAGCTACTAATGTTGTTTTGTGTTTCTGGTGGGAACTGTGGCGCTCAGAATAAATATTGCTAGGATGGCACAATACAAAATCTTTTCTATAAAGGGAGGTGAAACCTAAAGGATGCAAATGGATACATTTTTAGGGAACTTATTCATGAAACATTCACACTACCTGATCAGGAGCAACAGTACATTTTAGAGATTTCTAATCCCCCCCCCCCCTCTTTTTTAAACAAATACCGGAAATTTAAATTTTGATGTTGAGAGTCTGATTGTTTGCACTGTTTCAACATGTATTTAACACAAGCTGGCTAAATTTGTTGTGGCTGTTTTAAAGTTTGCTAGATACAAATTAGGTTAGGGAAAGAAGTGTCGCTAAAATTAAAGATCTAAAAAACATGACATTAAGTAGTGTGTCACTAGAAAAATGCCTTCAGAAAAGCATTTAGTTTTAAAACAGGTTTCCTGTAAATAAAATTTGAAAAATTGCTTTAAGAATTAAAATTTTTATCAACAAGTTGGAATAAGATTTAGAATGACTTCATATATTGATAAATTTGTAGAATCTAGAAATATTATTTACATTTAAATTATTTCCCCAGTGCAGAGTTAATACTATATAAAGTTTGTGAAGACTAACGGACTAAAGTCCAGCCTTGTTCTAATCCTAAATAATGTTTTGTTTATGGACGGCCTCCTTCACTCTCTATGATGACCTCGTTACTCTTCCATGTCCTACACAAGAACTAAAGATTGACTAAAACAAGTTTTTCTGATGTCAGTCTTTACACATCAGGTCTGATGCTTTTTTACATTTCTGGCCACTATTTTTCACACAACAATCATTTCCTCTACTTAAATAAATGTCTGTTTAACAACCCCTCAAGAAGTTGTTCAAATAAAAACTATATATAGAAGAGCTTTCTCACTTTTTTGTTGTGAGCTACAGTACAGTAAGCTGGTTATAGCAGCTGCTGATCTTCATTTCTCTGTATATCAGCAAATTAATCATTCTGTTTTAATTAGAATGTGGCTGGATTGTGGCAAATTTGGAAAACCTCCAGCAATCATGACGTTGCTACACTTGCCAATTAGGTTTTCTTATAATTCTGTTATTTTTCTGTTTTTCCCTCAAATGCTCTCCTTGATCCTCACCACTCTAGGTATACGCTTGTCCTGGCCTCACTCGAGATACAGCTATGTACAATAGCATCACGCCACACTAGCATAATGATACAGCCAYTGGTATCACAACTGAGCTACTTTTCTTTTCTTGACCATATCATGATTATGGTCAGAGCCTAAACATAAGGCTGATGTGCTTCAGATTTTCAACTTCCAGTTTGCAGTAGTGCTCGTGAACCACAGGTCATGGATACACTGCCAACATGCCCCCCACCCAGGACCTCAATACACTGCTACCACGATGAAAACCCACCATGATCTTTCTAGACCTATAGAGCTTTCTCAAATCTTTGGTTTGGGAAAGCTCTCATCACACTGACAAAAACCTTTAAGTACATTTGTTGGAGTTCTAACTGAGCACAACCTGCTCAACTACCACAAAATGTTATGTTTATGACAATGGTCTACATGATGCCTTTGGCATTGTATTAGAGACCTCTGTACTACTTAGGCCACTGCCTGCCTCTGAGCAGTCAAAGGAAAATAATTCTTGGGGACCCATTAATGGATCTCTAGGAGTGTTTCTACCCTTGTGTTCTTCATCCRAGGAACACAAAAGTTTTAATCAAACTTAGCCTTCACTAACATGGGATCTTTAACAGTTCCCTCACTATAAACCATATTTTGTTATGTGCAGTAGGGCTGTGGTTCCCAAAYCTTTTAGACTTATGTACCCCCTGAGCCATTTTGTCATACCACTAGTACCCCTGGAATTTTTCAGGACCTGGGACAGTGTGAAGGACYGAAGGAACTGTCCAAGGAACTGAAGGTGCTGGAATGTTTCAGGACTTTAGATAGTGTGAAGGACTGATGGAACTGTTGAACTGTCCAAGGTACTGAAAATGCTGGAAAGTTTCAGGACTTTAGACAGTGTAAAGGACTCAAGGAACTGTTGAAGGATCTGTCCAAGGTACTGAAAGTGCTGGAATGTTTCAGGACTTTAGATAGTGTGAAGGACTGGAGGAAATGTTGAACGAACTGTCCAAGATCCTGAATGTGCTGGAGTGTTTCAGGACTTTAGACAGTGTGAGGGATTGAGGGAACTGTCCAAGGTCCTGAAGGTGCTGGAATGTTTCAGGACTTTAGACAGTGTGAAGGACTGTAGGAACTGTTGAAGAACCTGTCCAAGGTCCTGAAGGTGCTGGAATGTTTCAGGACTTTAGACAGTGTGAAGGACTGAATGAACTGTTGAAGGACCTATCCAAGGTCCTGAAGGTGGTGGAATGTTTCAGGACTTTAGACAGTGTGAAGGACTGGAGGAACTGTTGAAGGACCTGTCCAAGGTCCTGAAGGTGCTGGAATGTTTCAGGACTTTAGACAGTGTGAAGGACTGGAGGAACTGTTGGAGGACCTGTCCAAGGTCCTGAAGGTGCTGGAATGTTTCAGGACTTTAGGCAGTGTGAAGGACTGAAGGAACTGTCCAAGGTCCTGAAAGTGCTGGAATGTTTCAGGACTTTAGACAATTTGAAGTATTGAAGGAACTCTCCAAGGTCCTGACGGTGCTGGAATGTTTCAGCACTTTAGACAGTGTGAAGGATTGAAGGAACTGTTGAAGGACCTGTCCAAGGTCCTGAAGGTGCTGGAATGTTTCAGGACTTTAGACAGTGTGAAGGACTAATAGAACTGTTGAAGGACCTGTCCAAGGTACTGAAAGTGCTGGAATGTTTCAGGACTTTAGACAGTGTGAAGGATTGAAGGAACTCTTCAAGGTCCTGAAAGTGCTGGAATGTTTCTGGACTTTTGACAGTGTGAAGCACTGAAGGAGCTGTTGAAGCACCTGTCCAAGGTGCTGGAATGTTTCAGTCCTTTTGACAGTGTGAAGGATTGAAGAAAATCTCCAAGGTCCTAAATGTGCTGGAATGTTTCAAGAATTTAGACAGTTTGAAGGACTGAAGGAACTGTTGATGGACCTGTCCAAGGTTCTGTAGGTGCTGGAATGTGAAAGGACTTTAGATAGTGTGAAGGAGTTAAGGAACTGTCAAAGGTACTGAAAGTGCTGGAACATTTCAGGACTGTAGACAATGTGAACAATTGAAGGAACTCTCCAAGTTCCTGAAGGAGCTGGAATGTTTCAGGACTTTAGACAGTGTGAAGGACTGAAGGAACTGTTGAAGCACCTCTCCAAGGTCCTGAAGGTGCTGGAGTGTTTCAGGACTTTAGACAGTGTGAAGGATTGAAGGAACTCTCCAAGGTCCTGAAGGTGCTGGAAAGTTTCAGGAATTTAGACAGTGATAAGGACTGAATGGACTGTTGAAGGAACTGTTCAATGTACTGAAAATGCTGGAATGTTTCAGGGCTTTAGACAGGGTGAATGACTGTAGGAACTCTACAAGATTCTGAGGGTGCTGGAATGTTTTAGGACTTTAGATAGTGTAAAAGACTGAAGGAGCTGTTGAAGGACCTGCCTAAGGTCCTGAAGGTGCTGGAAAGTTTCAGGATTTTAGACAGTGTGAAGGATTGAAGGAACTCTCCAAGGTCCTGAAGGTGCTGGATTGTTTCAGGACTTTAGACAGTGTGACGGACTGAAGGACCTGTCCAAGTTCTTGAAGGTTCTTGAATGTTTCAGGACTTTAGACAGTGTGAAGGACTGAAGGAACTGTCCAAGGTCCTGGAAGTGTTGGAATGTTTCAGGACTTTAGACAGTGTGAATGATTGAAGGAACTCTCCAAGGTCCTGAAGGTGCTGGAATGTTTCAGGACTTTAGACAGTGTGAAGGACTGAAGGAACTGTTGAAAGACCTGTCCAAGTTCCTGAAGGTGCTGGAATGTTTCAGGACTTTAGACAGTGTGAATGACTGAAGGAAGTGTTGAAGGACCTGTCCAAGGTACTGAAAGAGCTGAAATGTTTAAGGACACACTTTAGATAGTGTGAAGGAGTGAAGGAACTGTCCAAGGTCCTGAAGGTTCTGGAATGTTTCAGGATTTTAGACAGTGGGTATGACTGAAGGAATTGTTGAAGGACCTGTCCAAGGTCCTGAAGGTGCTGGAATATTTCAGGACTTTAGACAGTGTGAAGGACTGAAGGAACTGTTGAAGGACCTGTCCAAGGTACTGAAACTGCTGGAATGTTTCAGGACTTTAGACAGTGTGAACGACTGAAGGAATTGTTGAAGGACCTGTCCAAAGTCCTGAAGGTGCTGGAATGTTTCAGGACTTTAGACAGTTTGAAGGACTGAAGGAACTGTTGAAGGACCTGTCCTAGGTACTGAAAGTGCTGGAATGTTTCAGGACTTTAGATAGTATGATGGAGTGAAGGAAATGTCCGAAGTACTAAAAGTGCTGGAATATTTCAGGAATTTAGGCAGTGTGAAGTATTGAAGGAACTCTCCTAGGTCCTGAAGATGCAGGAATATTTCATGTCTTTAGACAGTGTGAAGGACTGAAGGAACTGTTAAAGTACCTGTCCAAGGTGCTGGAATGTTTCGGGACTTTAGACAGTGTGAAGGACTGAAGGAACTATTGAAGGACCTGTCCAAGGTCCTGAAAGTGATGGAAAGTTTCAGGAATTTAGACAGTGTGAAGGACTGAATGAACTGTTGAAGGAACTGTCCAAGGTACTGAAAATGCTGAAATGTTTCTGTGCTTTAGACAGTGTGAAGGATTGAAGGAACTCTCCAAGGTGATGAAGGTGCTGGAATATTTCAGGACTTTAGTCTGTGTGATAGACTGAAGGAACTGTTGATGGACCTGTCCAAGGTCCTGAAGGTGCTGGAATGTTTCAGGACTTTAGACAGTGTGAAGGACTGAAGGAACTGTTGAGGGACCTGTCCAAGGTCCTGAAGGTGCTGGAATTTTTCAGGACTTTAGACAGTGTGAAGGACTGAAGGAACTGTAGAAGGACCTGTCCAAGGTACTGAAAGTGCTGGAATGTTTCAGGACTTTTGAAAGTGTGAAGGAGTGAAGGAACTGTCCAAGGTACTGAAAATGCTGGAATCTTTCAGGACTTACATAGGGCTCGAACTGTGTCCTTTTAAACATGCCTGAAAATCTCACAAAGATCATCATTCTGGATTTTTTTTATGGTATTTTGCATCATAAGGAGGTCACCATACAGTGAGAWGCAGGCCTTAACCTGAGTTTATTGCTGCGTCAGACAATTGACCAAAAAAAAAGTCAAATGGCAACAGAGTTAAAAGAACAAACATCTCCCATATTTCATTTTTTTTGTAAATGACACACATTATTTATATATCACATAACTTTTCTGAAGCTCCTAGTCAGGTCTTGTGAATGTGTCCTGAAAACCATCTAAAGTGTTTCGTACAGCCGACATATAAATAAACTTGCTTTAGATTTGCCTCTGCTGTAAATATTAGTTGCGTTGATATATACACATATATATTTTTCCTCCCTTTTTTTGCATTTATTTTCAAAGTTAAGAGGGAGGGAGGGAGTTAGCTTTTATACCTCACAGCAAGAACTATGACATTATGGCCCTATATCTGAGTGACCTCACGTTTCAGTCATCGTCTGATTGGTTTCATTGGAAGTTTGCGTCATTAAAGCCTCTTAGATTCAAATGTAAAGCACTATCACAGTATTTAAAGAGATATATTTTCTCAGCCTCACTTAAGAAAGTTACTATTTTTGGTAAATTTTGACTGTGCACTAGGCAAGCCAAAAGAAGGTTTGACTTGTACATGTGTTGTGTGCACATACAGTATTCATGTACATATTATCTCACAAAAGCCATTATTTTAAAGTTATTTATAAGCTGCTAAATAATGCCAAAAAATAAAGAATTTAATAGTGTCAGTAGTATGTGTATTTAAACCTTGTTTCTTGGGATTAATTGGGTTATGG